CACACACACACACACACACACACACACACACACACACACACACACACACACAAACCCTGAGCCGTAACCCTAAACCTTAAACCCCAAATCCTAAGGCCTAAACCTTAAACCATGAAACATAACGGTAAACCATAACCCTAAACCCTAAACCCTAAACCTTAAACGGTAGCCGTAACGCTAAACCCTGAACTCCTGTATGTTAATCTTGTCTCGTGCGTGTTCTGATGGATGATGGCTACCCCGGTAGTCTCGCGCGGGGCTGTCATGCTCTGGCACTTTTTGGTTCATGACTAATAGTCGTTTTGCACTTGGTTCCTTGCAATGGGTTTCATCTCTTGCACAACTCTTTGCTGTGTGCAGGTCTGTCACCATACCAAAAAAACTGGCTACAAGGCTCCCAATGCTTATGGCGCGAACAATCCCCTTCTTGCCAAGTCGTAAGCAACCACATCTCCCATCTGCTTTTCGCCTCTCTCTCTCTCTCTCTCTCTCTCTCTCTCTCTCTCTCTCTCTCTCTCTCTCTCTCTCTCTCTCTCTCTCTCTCTCTCTCTCTAGTACTGGGTGTGTATATTTTTCCCTGGCAGTGACAGACTTTCACTCTTTTTGCAGCTCCCTGGGTTTTGGAGGAGGGAGGGGGGGAGGTCCGAGTGGGGGGGGGATATTGTGAACTGATAGTCTCTAGGATTTTCCATTTGGTATAAGTAGATAACAGCTCACTTTGATTTTTCTTTTACCAGTTGGGTGCTGTGTTGGCGGCTGGCTGAATGGCTGGCTGGTTGCGTGGGGGTGGTTACCGTCTTCCCCCGAACACAATGCGCCCTCATCAGGACTGTATCGGACCAGAAATATTGCTTTTTTATTCATTGCTATCATGGCGCAGTGTTCCAGTAAAGCAGGACGAGTCCGCTGGCTGCGCATCTTGCTGAGAATCTAGCCAGGTGGTTAATTGGTGGTGGGTGGGTGGGTGGGTGAGTGGCTCGCTGTGTGCTTGAGGTTCTCTTTGTCTTTGTCGTAAAAATGAAGGCTTTTTTTTTTTTTTTTTTTTTTTTGAAGATCAAGACACTCCCATCAGTGCTAATGGTGCTGGTAAAAGCAGACACCGCTCCCACCTAGGGAGAGGCTCCACCTATTAGTGGGGACCATCACTTGCTGGAAAACGGGTCCAGCGTCCCTTGTACAGAATGATCCAGAAAAACCAGGAAAGACCGAAGATAATCAGTATCTGGAAAAAAACTGTCAGCATTGATTACTGTGGATTCCAAAGGATTGACTGAGCAGGATATCAGAAAAAAATGACTGAGCATACTTACCTGGCCGGGGCACATCCGTGATCAGGAAGGCGGATGGCCTAGGTTGCAGTGTTCCCATTGCACTTTGGGTCTCGCCTGGCCTAAGTCACACCCACTGCGGTGTTACTACGACAGTATTTCTGGTAGCGGGGGCACGCGTACGCGCACCCCCCCCCAAAAAAAAAAAAAAAAAAAAAAAAAAAAAAAGACTGAGCAAAGGCCTGCCAGCATTGATGACTCTGGTAACCAGAGGATTAACTGTGCAGGTTGCTGAGAAAAGGAGAAAACCAATATTCTCATCCTTTCTTGAGATCATGAAATTGCCGGCCGGCCTTTATTGTCCTGGGATCCGAGGGGATTAACTGTGCAGGAGTGAGCGGGCGCCTGACGAGCCATGCTTAGCTAGTTCTCCCTTGTATACTGGGGTACCAAACTTCCCCCAGTGTCTTCAGTGGGCCGTCCTGATGTGCAAGAGGGGCGGGGAGACGGGTTCCGCACCCAGGGGGCGACTGGGGCAGACTGCCGGTTCCTCCCAGTACTGCTTGCTTTTTATAAGTCCAACTGTACTTTTAGACTTTAGCAAATGTTTCCACTTTGAACTTGTTAGTTAATGTTACTTGGGATGTCGGGAATGTTTCCACTTCGATCTTGTTAAACGACCAGTACTTGGCCCAGTTATCGGCCGCGGAAAATAAAAAGAGTAGAAACGTTTCTAGTCGGATGAATTTGGACGCTCCTGTAGTGGCCCGTACGTTTCCTAAAATCGTGGCATGCACCACTTTAGGATGTACTGGTGATTTAAACCACCAGTACTTGACGCAAGTATCGGTTGCCGAAAAAAATAGAGTAGAAACGTTTCTAGTGGGATGAATTTGGGTGCTCCTGTAGTAGCCCGTACGTTTCTTTTTTTTTTTTTTTTTTTTTTTTTTTTTTTGCGCAGAGGCCATGCTAATTTTYTCTGTATCGTTCCAATTTTAACGGATGTCCCAAAGGACATAGCCCGTACGTTTCTTAAATGTGTTTGACACCTACATTGCGAAACACTTTGATCGAATCAACAGTTCGTGCCCCTTGGAAAAGCTAGTCACATATCCTGTGATGAGGAATCAGATTAAGGCCTGGTTGAAAGCAGACATTATGACTGGTTTCGGCCTTCGGCCGCCTATAACTATATATAGCTTGTTAATGGGCATGACTTCAGGAAGTACTGGTGGTTTAAGTATCCTACTTGGGATGTCGTCAATGTTTCCACTTTAATCTTGTTTAACTTACTATCATACCTGGGATGTCTATATGGCTGGCTGGGCTGTTAGCATGTACTATGGAATACTTTTTTTTCCTTTTTTTCTTTTCTTTTTAAGTTGAAATGCCCTAGTATGTACTACTATGTGTAGTAGATTGTGTACCATATGTAAACCTCACTGGCTCACTGCATGGATGTTTTGGCTGGGTGGGTGGGAAACTTTGTGTACATATATAGGGTCCAGTATGAATAGATTGTTGGAAAGTGATTGGTACTAAGTCGAGGCTTCAGTTATGTGGGGTCTGTGGTAGATGCCCATCATTTGCAAAATTAGGGGGTTAAGGCAGATTATGTGTGTCAAGGCAGGAAGTGACGTGACCGAGTGCTGTGGGTAACTGTCATTGGTCTAGTATCCCACCTCTACAACAACCTGGGATTTTTTTGGGAAAAAAAAAAAAAGGGATTGTGCAGAATGTCTGAGGGTTAGACCACCAGTACACACTGCCCCAGCCTTGGGGAAATTTGTTCATCGCCTACGGTCAAAACTTCACGGCTTAGGCCGACCAGACAACAATGCGTGTGACGCTAGCCGAAGAACAAAAAAGTGTGCCGCTGGCGGTTCGCAAAAGCTTGGTAAGGAGTGCAGCGCCTCCGGGCCCGGGTGTACTGGTGGTTCAACCCCCCTGTGTCCTGATGAGTGTGTGAGGGTTCCCAATCTGTCATGACCTGTATTCTTTCTTTTCCTTGCTAGGCTACTAGGGCTGCGTTAGCCGTGCAAGCCCGGCCGGGCCACGCGTGCAGGTCATGCAGCCGTCCACCCGCCCAGCGTACCCCGGGGATGAAGAAACTCCACGAATTCTCTCCCTCCCTCCCCCCCCCCCTTCTGCGGGGCTTTTCTACTCGCATCGAAAACAGCTCAAATCGGAGCTCGTCTTTTGTTTTTCAGTGTTCTCCATCGAGGGACGGCAAGGGGGGTATAACTTGGGGTTAAAGGGGTTTAGAGGGGGGTGCCTGAGTTTATTTTGTCTTTTTTTTTATTTATTAATCTTCTCTGTCACGAATTCTGAGGTGACCCTCAGCCGAAAGTTGTTTGCAGTGCATAAACTTTGTCTAGGGCCTTGCCAACATTCCAGAACGAGATCCTTACCTCTGACAGGGTGCTTTTTGAGGGCACTTGGCATATTAGCGCGCAGCGCTGGTTCCTCTTGTCAACACCGCCAGCACCCACAAGAGATGTTTTCTTTTTTTTTTTCAAAAGCAAAACAAAAAAAAAAAACGTGTCTAAGGCTTTGCCAACATTGCAGAATGAGAAGCTTACTTCTGACTGGGTGCTTTTTGAGGGCAAAAGACATGATTTTGGGAAATAGGGAAATAGAGGAACTCTATGTTAACAATCTCCCAAATTTATTCACATCCCATAACTCACGACCATGCTGGGACTCGAACCCAGAATCTCCCGCTCCGGAGGCGAGCGCCTTATCCATTAGGCCACACGGCCAACACAACAATGAGACTTCGGGCCCCAGCAGATATGAAAACGATGGGGCTAGACACGCCGGCATGAGGCCACGGTGCAGTCTGACATCACTCACTGCTTACTTCAATATACATCACTCTGCTTCATCCATGACTTCAGTCTGTGGCCAGCTGCTTACTTCAATATACATCACTCTGCTTCATCCATGACTTCAGTCTGTGGCCAGCATCGTTTACTTGCTTACATGAGGCCACAATGCAGTCTGTAGCCCATATCGCTCACCGTTTACTTCAATATACACGCCCTGATTCACCCATGACTTGAAAACGCATCAACCGACCATGCTGGGACTCGAACCCAGAATCTCCCGCTCCGGAGGCGAGCACCTTATCCATTAGGCCACACGGCCAGCACTTGGGGGTTCTTTTGGCCTATTAGCATAGGTGTAGAACCTACATCACATCGCCTATGACTTCAGCAATCAGCCACCAATGCAGTGACTCAAAGTCTCCATCAGGCCACACTGTAAGGCATATACATGGTGTCAAGACCCCGACATAATATAGGTGTGGAGCCTACGCCCCGCAGGCAAGCGTCTTATCCATTAGGCCACACAGCCATAATAAGCATGGGGTCTAGGCCTTCCCAGAGAGCATAAATAAAGGCTTGGCTAGACATGCCTACATGAGGCTCCAATGCAGTCTATGGCCACGCCACCATCACTCCCCGTGTACTTCAGTATACAACAAGCAAAATGCGTTAACCAACCATGCTGTGTACTTCAATATACATCAAGCAAAATGCGTTAACCGACCATGCTGGGACTCGAACCCAGAATCTCCCGCTCCGGAGGCGAGCGCCTTATCCATTAGGCCACACGGCCAGCTCTTTCAGGCTTTTCTCAAGGCTATTGACAACGTGGAGAACCTACGCCCCATCACGTATGACTTCAGAACTCAGGCTATAGGCTATGCTGCCACATGGCCATAGCATGAGGTCTAGGCCTTCCCAGAGAGCATAAATAAAAGCTTGGCTAGACAGGCCTACATGATGCCTCTCTCTGGTCTATGGCCAGCATCTCTCATCATTTACTTCAATATACATTGCCCTGGTTCACCGTACTTCAAAATGTATTAGCCGACCATGCTGGGACTCGAACCCAGAATCTCCCGCTCCGGAGGCGAGCGCCTTATCCATTAGGCCACACGGCCAGTGCTTGGTGGGGTGGTAGGCATACAATTATAGGTGCAGAGCCTACGCCCCATTACATACGACTTCAGAAATCGGCCAGCAATACAGGAACTCGAACCCAGATATCCAGCAGGCCACACTTCCAAGGCATACACGGTGTTAAGACTTGGACATATATATAGGTGGGGAGCCCAATGCCCAGCATTACTCGCCTGAACAGCAAATTTGTCAAAATGGACATTTTTAATTTTTTGAATGTACCCAATTCACGTCGCAGTTTGGACGAAATTGAGGGTCCGGTGTTTTTTTT